CTTCCCATCCTCAAGGCTGCCTTTGTGTCTAGGATCATTCGCACATGTTAGCAAAAATACACCCCATATCGCACAATAACTATTAATGCATTTGCTCACCTGAGTTATTCATGTTTTAGGATGTAATTGTAACATGGTGTATATCGGATACAGGCTCTCGGCTTCACATTCCTGAAGCTTTGATTTAGGTTCCCTGAAAACAGCCAGGCCTTCACACTTTCCCTGCAATTTGGTTTTGCTTTGGCTAGCACGTGTTTGATGAAGTAATAGTGCTGTTGGTCCCCCATAGCTCATGCTGCACAGGCCTGTGCCTGACTACAGTGACTGCTCTTTAATCCCCCAGGTCCCCTCTTGGCTTTTTGGTAGATGGGCCCCACGTCGCCCTTCTTGTGTCCTCTGAAACCTCACCTATGCGCCACAACTCTCTCAATGTCATTTCCAAGGCCCCCGAGGTCCCCTCTGCCCAGCCCTTTGGTGTCCTGGGCGCAGTTCCCGAGGCCCTGCTGACCTGTGCTCATGCACACCCATAAGACGCTGTCTGGGACGGGGCTTGGTGGGGTGATCTCTTGTTGTGGACCAAGCGTGTGGCTAGGAGAGAGGCCAGATGAGCTCTCGTGCCCTTTCCACGGCAGCTGCTGCCCCAGCTCAGTCCTGACAACCATGGAGACCCAACCAACTGCAACGTATTGCAGGGGGAAGAGGAAGTCGCGACAGATTTATTACTGCCTCTCTCTCACCAGACACGAAGGAGGGGCACCGAATGAAACCCTCAGTCTGGAAGTTGAAAACTGACCCAAGGAAGTTATTTTCCCCGCAGTGTCTCTTTACCGCGTGGAGCTTGTGGCCCCCAGGTGTGGTGGGAGCTGAGAGTGCAGCCAGATTCACCAGGGGAATGGACACGTCCTTGGAGAAAAGGGCCATCAGTCGGTGGCAAAGACCTGGCACAATCAAAACACGCGTGTGCTGGAGACAGAGCTAAGGGAGCAGGGCAGGGTCCCAGATGGCTTGGGCTGGGGGACCAGATGTTAGCGGAGAACTACATTTCCATTTGAAGGCAGAAGCTGTAAGAGGTGAGACTGGAGTGTCTGAGAAGAGACAGAGACGCTGAGTGCATACGAGTGGTGCTGTGCTATAGGGGAGGGCCATGCTATATGGGACTGTGGTCTGGGCACGGAAGAGGGGAGAAGAGGGTGCAGATTCACCTATAAAACCCCAGGCAGAGAGGATGTCTGTGGGGGACCTATGGATCCCCAGAAGGACTCTCTGATCCCCGGGCTGTGAGGAGACCTCTGCCCTTGGGGTTACATGAGACCTATGTGAGGCTTTCTCTTTTCTTTGTGGCTTCCTGTGTAGCCTTTCCAATCAGACAAAACTGTGTGTGCGGTCACTGTGTCTTGCTGGGCCCTGTCTCAGCTTAAGGGACATTTCTGTTGTTCTTGGTTGTGGGCTTGAAGTTGCACGTTGCTGTGCTCAATGACAGCTCTCTTCAGAGCACGGACTGCCCTTGTTCACGCATCTATGAATGCAGTGCCATGGCTTAAAGTCTAATGTTAAGTCTGGTAGCTCAATGACTACTGACCAGGGAGCGAGGGCACGGCCTCTGCATCAGACCTGCCTGGACCTGCAGTGCTGGAGGCTGCAAGGGAGAGACGAAGAGGGGAAAACCCTGCTCAGACCCCGGTCGTTCTCCCTCCAGCCTCCGCTCTGCTGCTTGGTGACACGAGATATGGCAAGATGGACCTGGAGCGTGACCCCGTCCAGGGCAGCTCTGATGCGCTTATGGTTTTCTGAGACACCCAGCACATCACTGTGTAAGGTGCCACTTACAACAGCCATGTGTGCCCTGAATTGTCTCTTCTCTAAGGAGAAAAGGCCAAGATAAACCCAGACATTTCCAAGAAAGGTCCACCGTGTTTCATAGTTTCATAGTCGCTAGGGTCAGGAGGGACCTGAACAGATCATCTAGCCTGACCCCTGCCACAGGCAGGAATGGATGCTGGTTCACAAGACCCCAGACAGGTCTTGTCCAACCTCCTCTACAATTTGCCCAAGGTAGGGGCGAGGACCACTTCCCTGGGAAGTTGGTTCTAGATTTTGGCCACCCTAACTGTAAAATATTGCCTTCTGATCTCCAACCTAAACCTGTTCTCCATCAGCTTATTACCATTGTTCCTTGTCACCCCAGGTGGTGCTGGGGAGAAAAGGGCTCTGCCTATTTGTTGTTGATCTCCCCGATGACTTGTAGGCAGATGCCAGGTCCCCCCTCAGCCTCCTCTTGCTGAGGCTGAACAGGTTCGGGTCCCTCAGTCTCTCCTCGTAGGGCCTGCCCTGCTGCCCTCTCCCCAAGCGGGTAGCCTCCTCTGGACCCTCTCCATGCTGTCCACATCCCTCCTGAAGTGCAGCGCCCAGAACTGGACGCAGCACTCCAACTCACGAGAAGGCTGGACATGGTCATGTGGCCCCAGCACTCGTTCCTGCCTATGCAGGGCATCGGAC